CCAGGGCACGTTTCTTGTAGACCAGTGCGTTACAAGGCACGCATGTCTCTCTCGTTCACCCACTAGTGAGAACAGCTAAAAGTTGTAATAGAATCTGGGAAATATAGTCTTTTCTTTTCTGACCAGTCATGCACACAATTTAAATTGTATTGTTCTGGAAGAAATGCTGAAATGTACTAGACACATAGCAAAGTAGCAGCTGCCACAGGTACTGGTTAGTAGTACCAGTACTACTACTGGTACTGTTATTATTACTGCAGAATTACACTGTGCATCTGTTTACCTGATACAACTTCAATCACATACACTAGGATGGGTGAGGGAAAGTGGAGAGGGAACATAGGGTCCCTCCCAAACCCCCACTCCACGCGAGGTGAAATGGAAACTGTGAGTGGGCCTGTGCTAAGTGTGACTCACGTGTTGAAAACAGCAAGTGACCAATCACTTCATCTGAGTGGTCAGCTGCAGAAATTGGGTCCAACATTCAGAAAAAACTGGCTGAGCTGGACTCATTGGTAGCGTGCTGGTCTCTCGTGAGGCACTTTCCCATAGATCTTCAAAGGTAATTCCATCGGTTCCTCACTTCTTCTGCCTTATCACTTGATGTGAGAGTTTAACACATAGGCAAGATTCAACCACCGTCATAGTATCCTATCGGTATGCATCTGCAAAAACTTCTATTACCTGGCTGTTTAACTCAGCGCCTTGCTTACTTGTAACAGGTGGAGAGTCAGTTAGGAAATTGATCAACGTCAGACCCAGGGCTAGGTGACAGAAAACTGATGTTAGAGATTTGAGATAGTGAACATCTCTGTTCATAGAAATGGAGGAAAACTGTCAGGGTGTCTCTTATGACTGTTTATTTTATACTTTTGTAAGGTACTAAGGAGTTTTTGTTTTGAAGCAAAATAGGTCATTTTTTTTTTTATTTAGAAGGAATTTAGTCATGTTCCCCTGTGGTAGGTGTGCTTTATTTTAAGCAATCCCAGTTAAAAACCACTTTCACTACAGATAAACTAGGGTAAATGCACTTAGAGTGTTTTTCACAGAAATAATCACAAGATGATCGCTTTTGTAAGCTTTTATGCATTAAAATGATTTCATTGGCAAGATTTTTCTTGCTGTACTACTTTCAAAGAACACATTTTCTGTGTTTAAGGAGGTACCACAGTAAAATCTTTTACAATCTTAGATGAAACCTAGAAGTCGTTGAGCCTACCCTACCTGTGTGTACAAGAATCCTTGCTAGGACAGTGCGTGGAGCGAACCTTTTGGTCTCTCTTGGGACATTTCTACAATAGGGGGTGCCTGTCTCTGTTCATTTCATTTTCAGAGAGTTCTGTTCAACACGATACTAACAGGGTCCAACCTTGCATGTGTCCAGAGCAGTTTTTGCTTTTCAAAACTGAGTCTGTTCCACAGTTCAGTGTTAGTTAATTACCTGGGATTATGACAATTACTTAGAGTTCTGTCCTTTCATCATAAATCACGATTTAGGAGCTTAGAGGTCATTTTCTAACTCCCCACCCAGGATGTGAGTCTCTTCCGCAGCCTGCTGGCTTCATTCCAGTCCGAGAGCAAACAGGTGTTCAGCCAACACAGGCTAATGGGCATCATTTCTGTCTAGACTGCTTCTCTTAAGAAAGGGGGTGCTCAGTGTTTGATGGGTGACTTGGGATTGCAAGGCCTTAACCAGCTAAGGTTTTGAGGAGCCAGGAGGCCTCGGCCGAGTCTGAAAAGACAAGCAGAGGAGGAACCTGGCTGGTTTCACCGCAGATTTAAGGCAGGTCCGTTGCAATGAGAAGTGAGCGCCTGGGGCAGGGCGGAAAAACCCGTTCTCTGACCGTGAGGGGAACCTCTCCTTTCGGTATTTTCATATCTGGTGGAATTCTTGGAGGGAGTAAATAGTGGTTTATAAAAGCTCCTCAGAAATTGCCTTTTTATTGCTAATTCTAGCAGAAATATTTGTCCAATTGGTTAAAGTTATGACAGGGGTAGCACTAGTCCAGCAGAAAAAATAAAGCATTATAAAATTTTATAAGGTTAGTTTCTTATTGCTGAGAATAGCTTCAATATTAGAAATGGTACAGATATGAGAAATATGAGAATAGTGTCCATTTTCTAGCTTTTAATCTGGATTATTTGAATCCTGGAGTTTTTTTGTAGACATTACAACTTATCTCTGTGTGGTGCATTTGCTATTCTGCCTTGCAGGAGCTGTAAGTAATGTTGACTAGAGATGTCTTGTCTGGTATTAAAAATGATTATTGTGAGCCTGAGATCTGGGCTGCCTAAAAGGTTACATGTAACTTGCAGGCACGTTCTGATAGAGTGCTAGACGGTCAGGGAGAAAATGCCATGTGATACGCTCCTGGAAAAACAGTCTGGGGTTTTTATTTTGACATTTTCCTAATGAAAAGCAAATGATTGTTTTGGGGTATCCACAGAAAACATGTATTAGAAATTGTACATAAAAGGTTAGAGTTGAGATTTTGGGTTTATATAGGCCACAATTAATTAATATTCAGCTCCCTCTTTCATACCAGTTACAGGAAGGGTATCCTGCATTTCAGTTCTCTGCAAATCTGTAAAGTATATCGTATTTGTAAAGTAGAGTGGAGTTGATTCAAATTACTGTATTTTACTGTGTATAATGTGCACTTTTTTGCCCAAATTTTTGAACAAAAAATAAGGATACATGGGTAGTACTAATTCTGTATCTATATAAATATTTTTAATTCTTTTAGTTCTGCTTATGCATTAAAATCGTAACTCTAGAAAGCAATAACCATATCTATATGCAAGCTAATACCCTGAAATACGATAATTGGTTTTGTTTCTAAATATAAATAAGTAAAAAATTGAATTAAACAATTAAAATGGAAGGTTTTTTCCTGAAAATTTGAGCCTAAAACATGGTTGAGCACTATCCACTGGAATGCATTACACATGGCAAAACACAGTCACCTTGGGGGTGAAGTCACACATATCCTGTTGGCTAAGACATAGAAATGGAGTGATTCATTTCGGTGGTTGATGATCCTTTATGCTTAGAAAGTAGAAAAAGAGATATTTCTCACTGCAGGTCCAAGCCCAGCAGTCTCTGCCACGATTCTCTCCGTCACGAAGTCTTCTGGGCAGGGACTTACCTTCCCGGGGACTTTGGAGTAGGGAGGGGTTGTAATTATTTGAGTGTTTGGACGTTCACCCCTTTGGAAATCTGATAAATACTAGAGGCATTTTGCCTAGCAACGTTCTGTGTATAATTTCAAGGGTTCATGTTTGTTGACCTCTCGGAGGCGATTCTTCTAGGGCTTAATAAATGCCAGGTTGAATAGCCATTCCCTAAAGTGAATCTCAGTCAAGGGAAAGCAACTTCTTGGGGACCTCTGGGATACCCAGAGCTGCGTTGGCCCTGATGATCCCTCTTTACTCTGCTAGTGTCTTAGCACTCTGACTCTGCACTACTGCTTTGGACAGAAAACATTTCAAATTTCTTTTTTCCTTCAGCTAATATTCATTTTAGCCTTTTATTCTTGGCCCTATTTATTCTTATGTTGTTGAAGTTCTATTTTTCTTTTGTATTATCTTCTTTAAAAAATAGCTTTTTGTGTGTGAAATAGAGCAAACATACTGAAAAGTTAGTAAAACACAAACGCACACTTTGATATACAGTTTCCAAGTACGACTACCAAACAGGTCAGGAAACAGCACACTGGCAGCCCTCCAGCCGGCCGCCTTGCTGCCACTCACGACAGCCTCGTGCCGGATAGAAGCAGCCACCAGCCTGGCTTGTAAGGCAGTTATTTCCTAGATGTTTATAATTTCACTCCCTGTCCAGTTCCCACTGAATTATCTGAGCTACTGTCTGCATCTGCGTTAGAGAGGTTTATGTGTGGGTGCTTACTGTACATGCTCTTTCTCGTTTGCTTCACTTCTGTTCCTCGGCCTGTGTGTTAGCAGTATCGTTGTAGGTACCTGCGCTTCATTTTCTTACATTGTGTCGTGGCCCATTGTGGAACTCTATCGCAGGTTATTTGCTGCCGTTCGATCAAGGTTCTCATGATACTGCCAAGGAAATTGTAACTTACTTTTTTTTTTATTGGCCTTGCACTAGTTTTCTCTCCATTAGTAGTGAAGTCAAATATTAACTAGTAAGTTTAAAATTATCTGAAGATTTAAATGGGGATTGAAATCAGCAATCAAGTTTTCTTAGTATCTGTTATTTCTCTTTCAAGAACTCCAGTCTATAATATACTTTTCTTTTAAATAAATATATATATATATATATGAGGCAGATGAGAGGGGGGGAGGGGGGGGAGAGAGAGAGAGAGAGAGAGAAAGAGAAAGAGAGAGAGAGAGAGACATCAATGTGCGGTTGCTGGGGGTTCTGGCCTGCAACCCAGGAATGTACCCTGGCTGGGAATCGAACGTGGGACACTTTGGTTCCCAGCCCGTGCTCAATCCACTGAGCTACGCCAGCCAGGGCTACTTTTAAATATTTTATTCATAGTAATAATCATGAAAGTTAATTTAAGAATTCAGCAAATATTTGAGCGTTTCCTGTTCCAGGCACTGCTGTAAGTGCTAAAGCTAGTCAAATCCAGTTTTTATTCTTTACATATTATTAAAATAAATAGGTGTGTATTTGTTTTTTAAAAAGATCATTGTGTAGAAGGTATGAAGTAAAAATTTTGACTTCCTGTTCCCTCAGCCATTTACCCTTAAAAAGTCACAGTGGAGTTTAGTGTGTCTTTTACTTTTTAAAATAGTATCATCAAGATTTCAATGAAGGTTAGCCTTTTTTAACTGGGAAACCGCCAGGCACTTAAATTAGAACTCAAAATAGAAATGGTACCTTCACATTCTCATTCTTCCAGATGAACTTCTTTTTCCTGATTTATCATAGAAGACCTATGGGAAACACTATGCTTCTGACTTATTTACATATGGGAAATAATAATTTTAATTTCTTGTGTATCTTTTTTGTTTTGCCCTAGGCATTGCTGGAGACCATGTTTGGTGTAAAAGTGATTATAACAGGTGACGCGTTTGTTCCGGGAGAAAGAAGCGTCATCATCATGAACCATCGGACGAGAATGGACTGGATGTTCCTGTGGAATTGTCTGATGAGATACAGCTACCTCAGACTGGAGAAAGTGTGTCTCAAAGCCAGCCTCAAAAGTGTTCCTGGATTTGGTAGGTTGTTCACAGTTAAGTTGTTCATTCATTTTATATGTGACATACCAACTTAAAAAAGAATAATTTACTAAAATTCATGGAAGTATAAGAGGATTACCATTTTTTCTTTACTGACCTAAAAACAATCACCAGTTTCATTTTTTTCATAGTGGATCATAACAGATTATTTTATTTGAATCTCTTTTTTGAAACATTTAACGTTGAAAGAGAAAATAAACTATTTACATTGTCTTTAATCCATTTAGAGTTTATTCTTGTATATGGTGTAAGAACGTGATCCAGTTTTCCTACCATCATCTATTGAAGAGCCTGATTTTACCCCTTTGAATACTTTTGCCTTTTTTCATAGATTAATTAACAGTCTAGGTGTATGTTTGTTCCTGGGTTCTGTATTCTGTTCCGTTGATCTATGTGTCTGTTTGTATGCCAGTACCATACTGTTTGCATCACTGTAGCCTTGTAGTATAGTTTGCAATGAGGTAGCATGATACCTCCAACATTGTTCTTCTTTATCAAGATTGGTTTGGGTATTCAGGGTCTTTTGCAGTTCCATATAAATTTTTGGATTATTTATCCCAATTTATGAAAAATGCTGTTGGTATTTTTATAGCGATTGCACTGTAGATTGCTTTGGGTAGTATATACATTTCAGTGATGTTAATTATTCTTATCTGTGAGAAATGTGCTTCCATTTATCTGTATCTTTTTCAGTTTCTTTCTTCACTGTCTTACAGTTTTCCAACTACAAGTATTTTACCTCCTTGGTTAAATTTATTTAAATTATAAATGAGATCATTTCTTAATTTTTGTTTCCTGTTTTGTTATTGGTGTATAAAAATGCAACTGATTTCTGAATATTAACTTTATATCCTGCTACTTTACTGAGTTCCTTTATTCTAATTGTTTTTGGTGGAAGCCTTAAGGTTCTCTCTATACAGTATTATGTCATCTGCAAATAATGAAAGTTCTAATTATTTCTTTCCAATTCAAGCAACTTAAAAAAATCATATTATGATAAATCAGGATGTAAGGATAGTTCAGTTTTCATAAATCAATCAACATGACACACCACATTAACAAAATGAGGGATAAATATCATGTGATCATCTCAATAGATGCAGAAAAAACATTTGGCAATATTTGACATCTGTTTATTATAAAAACCCTCAGTGATGTGGGTATAGATGGAATGTACCTCAGCATGATAAAAGCCATATGACAAGCTAACATCATGCTCAGTGGTAAAAACCTGAAAGCTTCTTCTGTAAGATCAGGAATAAGACAAGGATGCCCACTCTTGTCACTCTTATTCAGCCTGGTATTAAGTCTTCACCGGAGCAGTTAGCCAAAAAACAAACAAAAGACATTCAAAATGGAAAATAAGTAGAATGGTTCACTAGTTGCAGATCACATTATATACAGAAAATTCTGTACTCCACCAAAAATTGACAAATAAATGAATTCAATGAAGGTACAAGATGCAAAATTGATATTAAAAAACATGTGTTTTTGTACACTAACAGTGAACTATCAGGAAGAGAAATTAAGAAAACAATCTCATTCACAATGTCATCAAAAAGAATAAAATACTTTAGAAATAAATTTAACCAAACAGGTGAAAGATCTGTACACTGAAAACTATAAGATATTATTAATGAAAGAAATTGAAGAATATACACATACATGGAAAGATATTCTCTGTTGATGGATTGGAAGAATTAATGTTGTTAAAATGTTCAGACTATCAAAAGCAGTCTACGGATTAGTGAAATTTCTCCCAAAGTTCCAATGCAATTTTTTTTTACAAAAATAAAATAAACAGTCCTAAAATTTATATAAAAACACATAAGACCCTGTCTAGACAAAGCAGTCTTGAGAAAGAAAAACAAAGGTGAGGGTATAATTCATCCTGATTTCAAACTGTATTACAAAGCTATCCCAATTAAAATAGTATCGTATTGGCATAAAAACAGACACACAGATCAATGGAACAGAGTAGAGATACCAGAAATAAACCTGTATATAAAACTATATATAGTATAGAAATAAACCTATGTAGACAAAGGAGTTAAGACTAATGAGAAAATGAAAGTCTCTTAAATAAATGGTCTTGGGAACAGTAGGCAGTCACATGCAAAATAATGCAACTGGACACATTTTCTTATACCAAACACAAAAATTAACTATAAATGATTAAAGACTTGAATGTAAGACCTGAAACCATAAAACTCCTAAAAGAAAACAATTACCTTGACATTGGTGTTGGTGATGAGTTTTTGGATCTGACACCATAAGCCAAAGTAAAAAAAGTAAATTTGATGTAAAAAAAGTACATCAAATTGAAACATTTCTGCACAGCAAAGGGAACCATCAGCAGAATGAAAAGGCAGCCTATAGAGTGAGAAGAAATACTTGCAAATCATATGTGATAAGAGGGTAAGATCCATAAAATATAAAGAATGAGTATAACTCAGTAGCAAAAACAGAATCTGATGAACAAATGGGCAGAGGACCTAAATACGCAGTATTCCAGAGAAGACACACAGACGGCCAATAGGTACACGAGGAGATTCTCAGCATCACTGATCGTCAGGGAGATGCCAGTCAAAACCACAGCGTGAAATATCACCTCACACCTTTCAGAATGGCTGTTTTCAAACACTTGAGGAATGATACCATATTTTGCGGTGTATAATGTGCTCCCGTGTATAATATGCACCCATGATTTGGTGTGCATCATACACCAGCTTATTATACCCACAGTATGTAATCATTATGCCCATGTATAGTATGCATCCTTAATTTCCCCTCAAAAATTTGGGCAAAAAGTGCACATTATACATGGCAAAATACAGTAAATGATAGCAGGCGTGTGGAGAAATTGGGCTTCCTTATGCACTACTGATAGGAATGTAACTTGCAGCTAATATGGAAAACAATATGGAAGAAATTTTTAAAAATGTATTAAAAATTGAACTAGCATTTGATCCAGCAATTCCACTTCTAGGTAACACAGAAAGATTTTTGCACCACCTTATTCTTTGCAGCATTATGTACAATAGCCAAGACATGGAAACAACCTAATTGTCACTCGATAGGTGAATCAATAGAGAAAAGTGGCATACACATACACACAATAGAGAATATTATTTAGCCATAAAAAATAAGGAAACCCAGCCACTTGTGACAACATGGATGGACATTGAGGGCGTTAGGTAAGTCAAATAGAGAAAGACATACACATGTGATCTCAATTGTATGTGGAATTAAAACACACACACACACACACATACACATGCAAATGAACTCATAGATTCAGAAAACAGATTGATAGTTGCCGGAAGCTGGGGTTTAGAGGGTGGGCAAAATGGGTGAAAGTGACCAAAAAAGACAAACTTCTTTGGGAATAAAATATCATGGGAATAATATCACCATGGTGACAATAGTTAATAATTCTGTAGTGTATATTTGAACGTTACTGAGAGAGTAGATTCTGAAAGTTCTCATCATAAAAATAATTTTGTAACTGTGTGGTGATAGATGTTAACTAGACATATTGTGGTGATCATTTCACTACATACCAGTGATTTGCCATTGGTGTACCACAAGATTTTTCAAAACATGCAATACCTGACTATTTTTCCGGAGGAACTGACCTCTTTTCTCTTGATTGTGAAATAAAAAAATGACAACAGCCAGTACTTGTCAGGTGTGAATGAATCAAAATTATACCTATTTTTTTGTCATATTGGCAAAAAAATACATTTTTGGTGGGACTTAGAATTTTAGTAACTAGTTTGTGTGTGCCACGAGAGGAAAGCGGTTGAAAATCCTTGCTGTTTACTCGTATGGGATTGGCAAAGTGGTTTTACAGTTGTGCGTATGTGAAACAAAGAGTTTTTCCTTATGTTATTTTCACACAAACAACTATAAACCTACTTTTGCCCAACAGTGTATGGAATCATTTTGTCACACCTGAAACTAATAATGTTATACACCAGATTATATATACATATATACATATATATACATATATATACACACACACACACATATATGTGTGTGTGTATATATATATATATATATATATATATGTAGTGCTGTTTACTGGACGGTTGTGAGGATTAAGGTCAACGCCAACACGATATTCCTGCTTGCTGCTGCCTCTTGTCTCTGTAGTCCAATTTGGAGCATCCGCCTTTCGCCTTGCGGAGATCTGCGTGAGACCTCCGGTTTTTCCCGAGTCCCACAGATTCGTCCTCTCTTTGGTTTCCTCATCCTTATTCCCGCCTGCTCTGCCCTGGCGCAGCCATCTTCTTCATCGCAAACCTGTCCCTTCTCTCACTGCGTGTTTCTGTGCAAGGATGTTTTTAGCTTTTCCACTTGCCTCTTTTCTTTTCTCACATGAGTTATAAGCGTCTCAGAATATCTTACATAGTGTAGGCTCTTAAATATTTGCAGACTTGATAAGATTTCATGAAAATGCAAACCACTAATGAGAATAGATTTTGGATTGGAGAAAAAAGATTTTAGTATCTCTACAGTGAATCAGTGCAAAGTAAACTAAGCAAGGCAAAAGTGTAGGCAGCAAAAAGCCAACGCAAAACCAAGTTCGCTTGCCAGTGAGAGTACTACAGTTGGAACTTGCAGGAAGAAATGAAACAAAGGGAGAAGAATAGATGTGCCTTAGTGGTCACAGCTCTGTCTGGCCTCAGACTATGCTAGGCTTAACTTGTTGACAACTTAGCATAACTTTAGGGAGTATTTACTATTGCTATTTGAAATTGATTTTAAATAAAATATTGCTTACCAGATATTTGGAATATAATGACTGAAGAAAAATAATATTTTATATCTGTAGTACCAGGCCGGGGAATGGATGAGAGTTGGGAATTTGAAAGTTCTGTTCTTAAAGTATAAAAGTAACACACTTATATAACAAGCTAGGAAAGAAATCATTAAGAGTGTTTAGATTCCAGGTTAAGTTACAAAGAGTT